GCTACCCTGGGTGTCTATACCTGGCAAGGTGCCAACTACACCTTTATTTTCAAGGTGGCCTGAACAGAATGTTTTAGGGCAGCAAACCCTGGTCTCAGGCCACCTTGACTTTAGCTTGAAAACCACAGCTTTGAAGCCTCATGCGCGCCATACCAGAACTGTAGCTACTTGTAGCTACCCTGGGTCCGTATAAATAGCATGTTGCTATACCTCTTACACACCTATACAAGTTCAAAGCACGAATGAGACTTCAAGGCTGTGGATTGCTGTGCGTGTGTAGAGGTTCTCAAGCGGTTGACGGAAAGGGAACTTGAAGTACTATACCTGGTAGCTGCACTATAGCTACCCTAGGTCTCTCTACCTTGCAAGGTGCCAACTACACCTTCCCATTCAGATGATGCATTTGGCATTTCTTGCATCACCACCCCTCAAAAATCACCTCCAACACAACCTCAAAAAACCTTCCCTCGGAGCACCCTCCTCCCCCCAGCATGTGCTGAGTTGACGTATACCTTTCTCGGGCCACCCCCCCAGACCCCCTAACTACTCACTTCGTTCGCCAGACACAACTCCGCTAGCGCCTTCTACGAAGGCTGGCTTTCGTAACATATGCTATATATGATGTATTATGGCTTTACATACTCATACGTCATGCATAATTATTGTTGGCATTTGTTTGATTCCTTTGATCCCTTTGCTGCTAGTGAGCTGGTGCTCAAATTGCAAGCTGGCTTTGTGGCTTTGTGTCGTTCATGTGCGTGCAAGCCGCTGCTAGCCCTATCCCGTCAAATCGATGCGAAGGCTGGGGAGGGATATATTATTATTGTTATTGTTATTATTATAGATGTGTATATATATATATCGGAAAAGAACTCGACACAACGGCAGCTTCCCAATTTACACGCCATCTCCAGGTCAGTGAGTCAACAACACTCAGCATCAAATCCTTGGTCCCAATGCTCTTCAAAAGGCCCTCCGCCCCAGAGTGATTAGGTGCTCATCTACGTCGTTTCCTCGACAAACTCTACTTGCCGTTACTTGCCCTGACCTATCTAAGCCAGGAAGGCAGTAGCTTTTACTGGGACACCCAGGGGCCAAAGGAAAACATCCCCACACCCATCCACACCTCTATTCAAACTTCTTGTGGGTGGGTGGGGGAAAACATTCATTTGGATTGATTGAAGCAAGTGTGGTGCAACTCAAAAGCACAACCAACCACTCCCTCTCTCTCACACTCTGACATTGGTTTTCAGTTAGCTCAGTTCCCAAGTCTAGAAGGAAGGTGAAGAACCGCAAGGTGAAGAGGTCTGCGCATTTGTATTGTTTGAACAATCTGTTGACATGTCTGCGGTGGCAAGCATCTGCACGACTCAGCTGCGACGAGAGAAAGGTTTAGGGGAAGGTATCATGAACCACCATGGAATCAAAAAAGGAAAACTGGACAGCGTGAGCAACAGTTTCTTGGCAGGTACACGGTCAGACGTCTCTGACCGCATCCCATGACATCACTAGCTTCGTTGGCCAGCGTCGTGATGTCATGCGCTGGCCCCCTTCTGAAAAGGCATCCAAAAACGAAAAGCGAGGTGGAACCCTTAGGCACAGGGGTTGACACACACACGGTGCCGCTTTGCGGCGCTCGTGCGAAGGACCTGAATAGTTACCTAAAAAGCCTTAGAAGCAAAAGAAAGAAACACAGAAAGAGCAGCGCTAAAAGGGCAAGAGAGAAAGGTAGGAGTAGACAAAATGAATACTTAGCCCTTGACTGGGGTAGGGAAACGAGCCTCAAGAGCAACCTAAAAAGCCTGAGAGAAAGCTCAAGAAACGACCAAAAGCGCAAGAAAGAAAGTGGGGGGCAGGGAGGTGTATGTACATGTGTGTGTCCGTGTGTGTGTATGAATACTTAGCACTCTAGAATCACTGATTACTTAGCGGAAGTGAATTAAATGCAATAGTTAGGGAGCGGGACTTTAGTCTTAGGCCGCCCGGGTAGAGAAGACTAGAAAAGGGACAACAGAGGGAAAGGCACCGACACACAAGTGTGCCGAGTACCATTTTTCTCTGTTACCCTAATTAGTGGGCGGGGGGGTTGGGGTGTTTGGGGTAGAAGCCGCGTCGGGGTTCTGTCCTTCCAGTTCCCTGCCCTCGGTTCCCTGTTCCCAGTTCCCTGTCCTTCCTGTACCCAGTTTGCTGCCCCCAGTTCCCTGCCCCCCAATTCCCTCCCTCTCCGCAGGTCCCTGACATAATAGTTGGAGATCAGCCTCGTCTGAGATCCACCTGTGGGCCTTGATCAGCGACTTGAGGTTCTTCATAGTTGGAGATCAGCCTCGTCTGAGATCCACCTGCAGGCATTGATCAGCGACTTGAGGCCCTTCAAAGTTGGAGAATAAAATCAGGCCACCCTGCTCAATGTTGGTGTCCCAGCTCAAGCTTCCGAAAAAAAACGAAACTGCTGATCTCTCAAATAGTTTTGTCCGTATAAGCCCGGCGGCTATTGGAGCAGTTAATCCAGTGGTGAAAAGGAATCAGTTAAGAAAATCCAAGGAATGAAGGATCCGAAAAGTCTGTTACACGATTTCCAGCATGACTTCAGCGCCCCAGTCACGGGGATCACACCCAGCACCCAAGTGGGACGGCTGAGCGGTTCACACTCTGACATTGGTTTTCAGTTAGCTCAGTTCCCAAGTCTAGAAGGAAGGTGAAGAACCGCAAGGTGAAGAGGTCCGCGCATTTGTATTGTTTGAACAATCATGACATGTCTGCGGTGGCAAGCATCTGCACGACTCAGCTGCACGAGAAAGCGACGAAAGAAAGGTTTAGGGGAAGGTATCATGAACCACCATGGAATCAAAAAAGGAAAATTGGACAGTAGGCACAGGGGTTGGTTGACATATACACACACACTCGCCGTCTAAACTACACAAGCACGACATGTCATTTATGTTAGAGAGAGTAGTAGCACCCATCTCCAGCCAGCAACCTGAGGCACTGTTCCCGCCTCCTTCGAAGGCAAGCCCAAGGTGATGGCCGCAAAAGCGGCCCGGCTTAGCCTGGCAACGACCGGTCAAACTCCTCAGGCCGTGCCATCTCAGGCCGTGCCATTCAGCCAGGTTTTGGATTGATGAACTCAAGACATCTGACCAGCAAACCTTTTGCCATGACTGCTCTGCACAGTTGCACCATCGACATGGCGAAAAATCCCTCTACTGGATTTGGCTCTAATCCTTTCTCGTCCGAGCCGGTGGGGTCCGAGCCGGTCCGGCGAGGTGTCCGTCGGAACAGCGAGCTACACATTGAAGGGTCACGCATCGAAACACCAATCTCGATGTGAAGAAAAATTGTGTGTTTGTTGATGTCGGAGCCGGACCTCAATCCATCTGGATCCTCCTGGACCAAGGTGCGCCTGGTGCCGATTCGCTGATGAAGCGGCCAACGAAGAAGTCTCATCGAACGCATCGGTTTGGCCCGATTCAGTCTGGAGCCTATTTCCGTTTCAGGCGGTGCAGGCCCATTTCACCCTGATATTTAGGTCGAAAAGACTGTAACGCAAACTCTGTCAAACTCTCAATTGTACAATTATTGTACACTGCCAACCCGTATCCATGAAGCTGCTTGCAGCTCAAAGTTTCAAAGTGCATTTCACCCCACACATGGAAAGACTAGCCATCTGAGGATATAGAGCCACATGTGCCCGGGCCGGAACCCATATTTGCTCGCGATCCACTTCATCCTCTTCGACCACCAACCTTGAAGCGAGGGTGAAGTAGATTACCGGTCTCAACAGCCGGTGCTTCATACGGAAAACATCTGCTGCATTCATCTTCTTTAAAGCCTCTACAACTCGAGGTTCCTAGTAGCGATGCCCTTTGCTCTTAGTTGCTTCTCGTTCCTAGTAGCGATGCCAGAAGCCCCTAATAGCGTTCTTGTTACTAGGCACTCAATTCATCCCAACTCCTTGTGCTCCGCAATGGCCCTATCGCTTGCACTCTGCGTCCAATTTTGTTTCCTCAACTTTGTGGAGTTCGTGGGGCCGTCCTTGATGTTGATCCGGGAATAGTAGCGCCCCAAAGCAAAGGCATGTTATTCTGAAATTGATCTAAAAATAATGTTCCTGTGATTGTGGAAATATGTTAAAGATTGTTAAGGGCAAACGCATCGAACATGCAGGATCGTGCAAACGATCACAGAACATCTTCCGGACAGCATGAAAGCAATGTCGGGGCGAAATGTGAGCTGCAACAAGCATCTCACGCACACGCAGAACGTGAAAAAACTACTCTCCGACCTCTGCACTTCAGCATCCTAGTCAGAGTCATCAAACGACTGTCGGAGATCAGGTATTGTTGGGAGCTGGGCAAGCGGTGATGCCTGGCACAGCACCCCTCTGTGCCAAATAGAGGTTCGCAAAATTTCGCAAATATGGTCGTTTCACTGCTGAAGAAGGACATGGGCCAAGCAAGCTGTGACATGATAGCTGATTAGGACAAAAGAGTGGACGAACCATCTACACCCATTATTGTTCTGCCCCTAAGCCTCATCAAAAAAACAAAGGAGGCTGGCACAAGAAGAATCCGTCTACTCATGTCTATGCTCAGTTTCAGTTTCAATATTTACAATTTCACCGAATTTCATGTCTGCCTGACACGTGCGCGTTCACGAGGCTCGGACCTTCCCTCATCAGTCTTTGACAAGTCTTTGACTAGTCCGACCTTGATCTGCGCCACGTATTGGAGCTTTGCATGAGCGCAAGCTCTGCCAAGCTCTGCTCAAGAAGAGCCCTCATTCCCCATAGATACCCATAGCACAATTTGTTGTTTAAAATTAAGCCTTCATGACCTGCTTACCTTTTGGAGGTTCTGAGATCCTTCGTTGTGTGCGGCTGGTTGTGCTGGTGCCCCGTCATCCCGGGACAGGTCCTGGGAGGTTCCATCCGAGAGCCTCCAAAGGCCGACGGAACATCCTTCGGAGAAGTGAGGCGGTTCGAACCAAACCAGTCATCAAGATTCATCAAGCAGGTGTCTGCCTTCCTTGTCAGGACAGAAACGCCTCCGTTTGCCGCAATGCGTGCTCTCAGCCACTTACCTAGCTGAACGCTAGAGGGCTCAAACAAACAACTGCATTGCTATGCTCAACATAGTTCTCACAAAGAAGCGCATCGATGCTGGAGCTCGTTCAACATCCCTTGCGCAACTCAAGCACCGTGCTCAAAACTGCCTTGGAACAGTAGTGACTAGTGACTAGCAAGTGCTGTTTAACGCACCCCTGCTGCTACAGGTCGAGTCAGCTGACCAAGGAAAGGTCATCGTGCAACTGTCGTCATGTCGTATGTATACTCACCGCAAATGATAAAGGAGTGATGCCGCAAGTGAGATGGGCAGCGCCCCACAAGTAGTCCTAACTCATGTTTCATGAGTTAGACTGCTGCAAAACGTGTGCAAAAGGATCATGAGATAGGAGGTGTGGAACCTCCACACCCAAAAACAGTGTCTGTGGCCACATCACCAGGGTAAGGATTAAGAATATCGTTTTAAATGGGTAAAGTCCCAAACAGCTCCTCCATGAAAACCAAAAGGCTGCAATGTGATGGGACTAGCCGGCACAACTCTGAGGTCATGTGCTTCACACTTCGGTTCCCCAACAACGCCCCAAAATTGAGGTGATGCTCAGCTATGCAATGGCCAATTGCCCGATGTTGTAAGCAAAGGCCTGATGAGATAGGATTTGTGGACACAGAGAATCACACCTCATTTGCCACACTATTTGCCACATGAGATGGATGCTCTGATTGTGCCATTCATATGTTCCAAAACTCCTCTCTCACTTCTGGGTAGTAGGATCGGAACCGATGAAATCCGACAGCAACTGCTTGCTGAATTTGACTTCCAGTCACTGCGGAACTTCTTGTACTCTCTGCAAATCTAGCAGCACACCATTCAAGCACTTTGCTGTTTGGACCTCACTGGGTTTCAACGACCTCAACGGAGAAAAAAAAAAACTGGACATCCGGCGGCCGGCCAAGTGTGATGCCCTTCAGAGCTGGATTGTGTCAAAGGGGCCTCGAAAATGCCGATTGCATCTTGTGGTAGGCCACAGTTGGGCACATTTGCTAGAAATTGAACCTTCTGGGATCAAACATCATCTGCTTCCAACCAACTGAAAATTGAAATGAAGCACTACCACAACAACATTAACAACAACGTATTCTTGCAGTTCACACTGTGCGCGGATCTTGAGTCGTTGGCCGACTTGTCCGCTGACATTATCCCGCAAGTGAACACATCGTTGGGGCCTCCGAAAAGCCACAGAGGTCGTTAAAATTATAAAGATATATAAAGATTTCTGGCACTGGACGGCAAGGAGGAAAATCAACAGCTGTAAGTGATGCAAGCGGATCATGGCGTTCTAAAGAAAAACATCACAGGAAAGATGAATTTCACGAAATTGCCGTGCATGCCTTTCAACCGCTCACATAGCTGCACGAACCGTGAGCAAATGGCATCAGCTGGCTGTACGTCGCTCACAGAGAGAACCGCAGCGATGCTCGACAGCTGGTGGCTCCAACAGGCACGACTCTGGCACCATGCCTTTGAAGATGCTCCTCGGTTCCATCGATCTCCACCGTCTGGAATCGTTTTGAAACACCGCCTTGATTTCAATGCGAGTTCAGACCGACTATCGGTCGGGTTGTTCGTAGATCCATAGAGGTTCGAGCCGGTTGAGAGTTGGACACGTGTTGTGTCACCCAATCTCACTCCGAGATTGATGACAATGTTTGTTTGTGCTTCTCTCTTCGCCCCCCCATGGGAAAGGGTTCCATACACCGAGCTGTGAGCTGTGCCGAGCATCCGTCAGAAGGCTTTTGGCGATGGCGTGGCTGTAGGCGTTCCTCTGCGCTTCCAATTGCAATGCACTGTGGATCTCCGGTCCTCCGCGCGACTCGCATCCCGTCGCACGGAAATGGTCGCCGAGCCGAGCCGAGCCACCGCACTGGCGTCGGGCGTCCTGGAGGTTGATCTACTGTCAAGCGGCCTAGGAGAAGCCTCGGCAATGAGGCAGTCTGCTCAACTCACTGGATTGGAGGCCACACTCAAACATCTTCAACGTCGGCCCAAGAGATTATGAGAAACAGGGTGGTTGAATGACATTGAAAAACAAACAAAACACGATACATTATTATGACTCTCATTAGCTGTTTAATATGTAGATCATCACATTATCATTGGCTCATATTGGCTCAGCTGGTGTTGGGTGGGCCCTCTGCTGGAGGCATCTGTGAACCATTGGCGGTCGCCATGCATCGGTGTGCGGCTCATGTTTGCGCTCCAAATGAATGCTTCACAGGCTGCATGCACAACACGGAAAATTCTTGAGAAGTCATCAAATATCATCAAATACGTGCAGTCTCTCTCTCTCTCTCTCTTGAGGCCGAGGGTTGGTTGACGAAAGCTAGCAGGGCGGGGATGAAGCGGGTGACAGTCGGCCCACTATGTACACACGTCCCAGAGACGTCCCAGGGAGGATTTGAACCCGCCGGGGGGGGGGGGCGTAGATATGAAGTTTTCATGCGATGTGGCGCTCTCGAGGATCCCAGCCCCTCACTTGCTAAAGCAAGAACAAGGTGCTTTCTTTCGTGATTAAGCAAATGTAAAGATATGTTATGGCTTGCCTCAATTTGTTTTGCACTGCTGGGGGGTTAGCTCATGGCGGAATTTCATGGATTTTATCGACTAGTATATACTCAAAACATCTAGAGCTTAGTGCGTTTTTTCGGGTGTCAGGCGGAGGTCCCATAGAGACCGGTTGAACCTAGAGAATCAAGATGCCCCAACAGCGTGGCCCTATGACCCCCTCCAAATGCCAGTTTGATTCCAGCCGCTGAAGCCGACGCTTGCACCTCTCGCGGCGGGCCTTGCGAGGGCGTTGGTTCCAGCCCTCCGGCTGCTCTGGCTCATGATGACAATAATTGCAGCTTGCTCCTGCTGCCGGCAGCACTAAATGTTCCACAACTGGGTCGGATTCCAACAAAGCCCCCTGCTGTTTCACATAATTCAAGCGCGCTGTGCTATTACATATATATATGTGTGTGTGTAACCCTTGGAGTCATAGGGATGCTTTTGCATTCTTTTTATTTATTTGTTTTATCGCAGGGGGGCAATGAACACTTTGGAAGGCATTGCCCAACGAAGACCCTTCCATCGTGTTGTGATATTCCTGAGGGACGCCTCGGGAACGTACCTGCTATTTTCCTTTTCCATTTGAATGGCGAGAGGCTAAGCCAAGAACCTCACGAATCGATTTTGTTCAGACTTTCTGCAGATGTGCACGAGCCGCCGTCACCTCGCCCTGTTCGTCGTCTCGTGGCCTTTAACTACAGGAACTCTGGTCCCCTTCACCTGGTTTTTCAGGATTTGGGTCTCTTAGGCTGGCGTGTGGCACCGCATTCAGTTCCGTACACAATATCTCAAGTGTGTTTGGCTTCGTGCCAACCCGGGATGAGCCCGCAGAGTGCCTCCCGTGGACCCGTTGAACGGGTGTATGTCGACCGTATCCATTGCCCGGATACAGAGGAGCTCGCAGCGAGCGTAGGTGGCCTAGGCCGTACGTCCGATGATTTTGTCCCATCTTGGGAATTCCAAGTTGGCTCATGCCTTTACGTGACCGCAGCGGTCAAAGCAGCCAGCCGCTTCGGCAGGGCACAAGGTGACCACAGCGGTCAAAGCATGTTTAAGGTCCATTGGGACCTGTGGAGAACTTAGCCCCCTTCTCCCCTGCCCTTCCCCTTTCTTTCCTTGCTTTCTGGGGTTTTCCTGAATGGAAGACTCAGGATCACCCCTTTCCTTCTTTGGTGTGTCCCTGGACGATTCTTCGTAGCTGGGAACACCTGCCCTTTCCTTTTCTCTCCTCTCCCTTTCTCTCCCTCTCTCTTTCTTTCTTTCTTTCTCTTTTCCCTCTCCACCTTCCTTCCTCCTTGGGTGTCCCTGGATGCTTTTGTCATAGCTGGGAACCCTTCTCCGCTCTTCTTTTGGTGTGTCCTTGGACGCTCGCGTCGTAGCTGGGAACACCTTCCTTCCTTCTCTTTCCTTTTTCTCGTCTCTCCCCACCCTTCCCTCCTGTCTGGACCTTAGCTTGGGTTGCTACTAGGGGCTCCTGGCCTTCCTACTAGGTCGCTACTTGACGCTACTTGAGGTTCCTGGCCTTGCTACTACTTTGTACCTTTTGGCGCGGAGCTTAGAATCTTGCCTCCCTTCGGGGAGGCGTGTGTGTGTAACCCTTGGAGTCATAGGGATGCTTTTGCATTCTTTTTATTTATTTGTTTTATCGCAGGGGGGCAATGAACACTTTGGAAGGCATTGCCCAACGAAGACCCTTCCATCGTGTTGTGATATTCCTGAGGGACGCCTCGGGAACGTACCTGCTATTTTCCTTTTCCATTTGAATGGCGAGAGGCTAAGCCAAGAACCTCACGAATCGGCTTTGTTCAGACTTTCTGCAGATGTGCACGAGCCGCCGTCACCTCGCCCTGTTCGTCGTCTCGTGGCCTTTAACTACAGGAACTCTGGTCCCCTTCACCTGGTTTTTCAGGATTTGGGTCTCTTAGGCTGGCGTGTGGCACCGCATTCAGTTCCGTACACAATATCTCAAGTGTGTGTTGAGAATGAAGAGTTAGATTTGACAGATTCCTCCTTCTGCAACTTCGCCCCCGATTTCTGCGTTCTACACAGCCCACGGCATCCCTCTCCCACAGCCCCTCCTTGTCTGCAACCAAAGGGGGAGCAAAAGAACAGGCAGTATTGGCACGGATCCTTCTGATAGCCTGGAAGCTGCTCAAAGTTCACCTCGTCTTCCGAATCTGGCAATGGCGCCGTCGTGCCTGTTCGAGCGGGACCGGAGAAGCTGGAACCTCTCTGCCCAAGGGGGCTTGGGATATGTTTTTGGGATGAGGGCTGTGGGTGCTTTCCCCCCGATGCTCCTAGTAGCGTCCTTGCTCCTAGTAGTAAGGCCAGGAGCCCCTAGTAGCGTCCTTGCCACTTTCACTCTTTCACCAGGCGCCAAAATGTTCAGCAGCACTTCTGAAGCACGGCGTGTTCTGCAAAGGGTGCCCATATGTTCTTGGATCCTTTGACTCTGGACAACGGGAAGCGCATTGTAAAAAGAGAATGGGCAAAGCACAGGATGGACGGATGGATGGGATGGATGGACAATGATGGACAAGGATAACGAACTGACTACCACGAGGTCCATATTGTGTAGTTTGCAAAATTGACAAAGGTGTAATGTGACAAGTCAGTGATGATGGAAGTCAGTGATGATGGAAGCCTTGCAAGTTCTTGCCACTCACAAAGATTAACAAGGATATCAAAACAGGGAACAATTCGGAACAATAGCCTGCCTTGGCGAAGAGAAGATGACATCAGGTGTATTTTCGCTTAATCCCATTGGGTGTGCCTGAGGCAGGCTGCAAGATATGCGACCCATGAAAGATTAAGAACTATGCCTGCCTCATGTTGAGGCGCAAGCCAAGTTTTGCTTTTTACTTTTTGGTGGGGGAGTGAGCAGCTTGACACACACGCACCCAACATATATATATATGTATAAATTTAAATATAGTGGATTGAGAGTAGATGGCACAGACCCCAAGAGGTGGTTTATATGGACCCATCTAAAGGACATCTTGGGGTTTGCGCCATCTACTCTGAATCCCCTGTATGTATATATTATATATATATACGCATGTGTGTGTCCTTTGGTTGGTCCTTCGACTGGTCCAACATACCGACACAAAGTGCGAGCTCTCCAATTCAGGCTGCTGCTAGCGGCATTGACGTCTTTCTGCTGGAGCTCACTCCTGGGTCATGCTTCAAGGAAGGAAGGACAGAAAGGAACCAAGAAAGGTCCTTTCAAACAAACGAAAGACATCCAAACAAACGTCCAACAGTTCTGGCAGCTAGTACGTCTACGGGGTTCTTTAGTACGCCGCAGCGAGGCCTCGGACGCTACGAGTTCAACGAAATCAAACGAGCGAGGCCGCGTACCCTGCCAAACACGTGGTCCGAAGAAACATTCAGATGAGCGGTCATTGGTTGCACGGTGTAGTGATCTATTTCACCCTTTAGTCGAGAAATACATTGATGCCAGTTGAGATCCCACTCAGGAACTACTAAGCCTAGGCAATCTTGACATATATTGACCCCCATATAAGGGCATCGCTAGTAGTAACAAGTGCATCGCTAGTAATTAGTATATCGCTCAAATTTCTGTTCGTTCGTGCTACGACCAGCACATCTCAGGACCCTCCACCACCGAGGGGTGGGAGACCACAGCCGAAGAATCGGGTCGTCACCCAGCGCCAAGTGTTGCACCATGTGGTCCGAAGAAGATGCGAGACCCTGGAAGCCTCATCAGCTGAAGAGGTGTGGATGTGAACAATGTGGAAAAGTCGTCCAATTCAATTCGATCACTTGAGGCTTCGTCACTTGCAGCCTGGCTGTCACTTGTTGATCGCTAACTTTGGATCATATCTTTGGGCGCATTTCATGACATTGGAGAACGGTTCAAGCAACCTTTGCTATAGGGATGGGTATATATAACGGCTGCTGCTGTCAACGGCACGCAACAATCATATCAAGCTAAAATCATCCCCGACGCACCAAACAGGTGCTCAGGAGGCCTGGAGCGCCTTCACGCTCCACATCACCATGGCGATCCTCTCGGCGCAACATGGTCACCTGCTGATTCCACCTGATTCCTATATAAAGTTTCTGTGGAGCACGCCGCGTTGCGGGGCACGGTCGCATGGCGTGCGATTCGGAAAAGGTCCCGGCCCTGCAATTCGATCGAGAACGGGCGTGAGGCGTGAGGAAACAGTCGGCCACTCGGCCACTCCGCACTGGACCTCAAAAGCCTTCTTCAAGGAATGCTTCCTGGGCTTGACGCATACACTCCGACTGACGGACATGAAACTGGAACAACCCCTTTCAACTTCCATGTCGAAAAGTGGGAGTGTAGAACACAATACAGTAAAAAGAATAGACCTGCAAAAGGTGCGAATCATGGCATCGACACTTGCCTGGCCCCTCTCCCCGGTGAGGGTAATGGAAATGGCAATGAGTTTCAACACTGACCTGACGAAACCTCTGAGAGGGGCACAAGCACTGCAAAACGGATGGCCTAGGAGGCACTGCCGAGCAAAGAGACTGAGGCGACTTGTCGCTGCTCACTTCTCTTAAGATTTGACTTCGGGATACTTCGGGTGATTTTTATTGGTTGCCTTTTCCTCCTTACTAAGGCCACTTCTCGGATCTTGAACCCCTGAGAGGCCAACTGGCAAAGCGATCCAAAGCGATCCTTCTCACGTGCCAAGGCCTTCGTTGCAGGTGGGTGGGAAGCTTCCGGAGCCGGTCGATGGGCCCCGAATGGCCCCTAATTCGATGGTTGTCTTGTAAGTTTCAGGTGGTAGAGAAAACAAACAGAGCTCAAATGAGCTCAAGGCATAAAGCCCGCCGCATGGCAACTCCATTCCTCAACATATGGATTCAAATAGGGTGATTTAACATGTCATGGGATGCCAATAAGGTCAACATAATTTGCGATTTGTGCGGGACTTCTGCTTCCGCTGCGCATTGGTGGCACGTGATGCAGCTGTCAAGAACATCAGGAGCCAATTGTGGCTAGCCTTTTCAGGTGATATCCTCAAAATGACTGCCACCCATGGGCTGCCCATACATACACAAGAATTTGATATCTTTGATGTGAGCTCGCAACGCTATATTTCAAAAAACTGTATAAACAAATTGTACTGAACATTTGCCTCCTAGCTAACTGTTCAACGGTTGGCTTGCCTACAAGAAGCGATAGGAGGAGTGAATTTCTGTTTTACTCCATGCAAAGTCCTGCCAGCATTCGCCCGGCAGGTGCATTTCTGTTGCTTCGAAAGAAGCTAGTGCAGTGGAAAGTTGACTTGCCTTGAAGATTCTTTTTGCCGTGGAATAAGCTCGTAGTCTTGGTGCAAGCATCATCTGCCATTTGGCTTGCGACTCGTCTGTCTTCAGGGTTCGTTATGCAAGTTTGGAGGGCGCTTCAGCCCAAACAACAAAGATCGACGGATTTGTATATATAAATACATAATGTAAACATATTGCCATTGTACGCTGTGCAAAGCACTGGCCGCAGAAATTTACCCCAAAGATTCCCAAAGCTCCCAGGCTCAAATCTCCAACACCTTGTCGCCTGGTGAAGCTACACACATAGCTTCACATTAGCTACACCACTGGTAGTAGAACTGGCTCCCCAAATGTTTGAAACACCTGCGCATTCCAACGACTCTCTATCGCATTGCGATGAACTTCAGTCACCACCGCCGAGAACGTCGGGCGGCTGGCCTCGATGGCCCCGGTATCGCAGATCAAAAGGCCTTGCTGGAGAACCTGATTTCCACGCATCGAGCTAGTGCATCAAGAAGTGCGTCAAGAAGCCAGAAATGTGTGAATCAACTAGTTGCACCGAGCCAGAAACTTTCAGAACAAAAGCGGAACATATTTGCGTCCGAGGGCGTCGCCCACTCAACACTCTTTGGTGTTGGATTCTCCTGGCACACGACAATCCCTCTCTGAATCGCTGTTGTCAGGATATCCTCCTTGCAAGGTGTCGCTTGAACTTTAGATCCTTTAGAACTTTAGAACTCCAAGATCTGGAAGGGTGCGGAAAACACATCTGGAAGTACCGCCTCGCTTCCAGCTGCCTTGAGCGCCTCGGGCACCTCGTTTCAACAACCGGCTCGAGCGTGTCGACGGCTCTGTGTCCGACTGAGGGGATGTTCACTTTTCGCTTCCAGCCCTTCGAACCTAAATGCACATAAATACATGCATGCATTTCGACCAAGTCATGCTCACCGCAAGGGAAGAAGTCGCGTGAAAACTACGGCCGCAAGATGCCACAAGCTCAAGCACCAAGAATGGCAATGGGGGATTGAATCACCGAGGCTTTAGTGAAGGGGTTTGTGGAGATGCCGAACTTCAAAACTTGCCAGCTCAGCCGGTACTTCAAGAACGATTCCTCTGCAAGTATCTGTGCAGTACAGAAACCGGTCGGACTTCTCCGCGCTACGTGCTGGCTATCTCTAGTGCTGATGCTGATTTCTCATGACTTTCGCGTGGCTTGCTGACTGCCTTGCCGACTTACACTAGTATAGTGCCCTTGATTTTGACGAGGTGAACTGCTTCTCCCTGCTTCTCCACTTTGACCCTCCTCACCTGTGATGCAGGCAACACGCTGGCCAGTGCCTCATCTTGTCACTGCATGCCATGGAGTTCTGTTTGGTTTCTAACCACCTGCTGCACCGCTGGCGCAGCAACAACAACAGCCTCGACTAGTCACCTGAGGAATCTCTCAATCAATCTCAAGGGTGGCGAAAAGCAATCTCACTGGTGAAGCCTATCATCTGCGAGAAAGTATCAAAGTTTCTTTGACTTCTTTGGATGCTTCGAGGTCTACAAGTCAACAAGCACATTCCGGGCCACTTGAGACGATGCGATGTCATATATTTATTTATGAAACAAATGCGGATGTATGAATTCTCCACATTGCTAATAAATAATTATTGTGTATATATATATCCAGATTATGTAGCTAACCATATTGGCTATGACATACTATGATGCATAACCTGAAGGATGCTAGTGACTGTATAACCTGAGTGAGTGTGATCAATGTGCGTCGATCATGATATAGTTACGTTTGGGCATACTGATTCAGCAATGATCAGGGCAATAATATAGGCAATAAATAAAGTATCTGCAGGTCCCATAAGTCAATTGAGCCAATGCCAATGCGTTCTAGCATCGGAATAGCCTCCCCCCAGCCCCAGCAGTTGGCGAGCCCAAGTCGGGCCCGCTTGCGCCTTTAGCATGGAATTGCTGCATTTGAGCCAATCCTTGGGAACTGCTGGGAGGAAAGCTGAACATGAACCTAGCGCGCCATGGTCACATTAGTTCATCATGCTTGATGTGTCGTGCATGAGGAGACCAAAAGGCCATCCAAACCATACATGTTCTCAACAAAGCAGCGGGATGAACACACTCAGGTCGCTTCGATGCATGTTTGTCGCTTCTCCGGATGAAGCGAGTCTTCGCAGCGAGGAGACCACATCCGAGACCCACACAGCGAGGCTCAGAACAGAAACAGCGTTCTGTGGATTGATCACCTCCTGACCAGCGATGGTTCCACTTTCTGGGATGGTGGACGTGGGAATCAAAGTGGGCGACTTACTCAGAGAATCAACGGATGAAAAGCATCGGAAAGCACGCAACCTGCTTAGTTTAACAAAGGTCACCACCACATACCACCACAAACACTCAAAGTATCTTGAAACCGATGGTTTCATCTCTTGAACGTTTGGGTCACATTCATTCTCCGGGCCAAAAAATGTGGTGCAATTGCATCATATTGCATCCTTCGCGCCTGTGAAGGCAAACAATAAACCCATGACTTGTGTCGACAGAATTTGTATGAATTTGTCATGGGAAGTTATCGCCCTCACGATTCCACAGGGGTGAAATAAGCGATACAGACAACAGGGATCATGCTGGATCCTACCTCCACGATCCTTCAACAACTCCCACTCCAGTCCTGCGGATGACTTAGAGCCCGAAGAAGCACCAAAAGCCTGGCCGGTGGGAGTCTCCAAAAGCCTGGTGAATCTGATTGAACCTGCCCTGACTCGTGGCGCAGAACCCTTTGGCGCGCCAAGTTCGAAAGCAACAGGTGCAGTCCAACGTGCCCCAAGTCGGCAGTCTCACACATAGAACAAACAAATCAAACACATCAACAAACGTCTGAATGAACAAGCCGCTCGTTCGGTCATGGCTGCTGTGGTCCCGTATACGCCGTAAAACGCCAACCTTTTCCTTTGAGAGCTCCGAACGATTCCGATCGAACGCTTCGAAAGCGAGTTGTCCCGCCTGCGCTGGGCAGCTGGCTCCAAGGGACCTCAGCTGGCACTGAGGGACGAAGACGAAGAAGCGACGCAGGGATGGGTTGACCAATGCCGACGACTTGGTGGTTTCCAGACCAAAGCTCAGTACTGAGCTCCAACACGGCCAGCTAGCTCTGGAGAGATGAACAATGCTTCTGCCCCCTCGCCCGCGAACAAATTGCTACAAGGAAGGAACATCATGAGCCTAGAACATTCACATGCTGGTTGAGTGGCAAGTGTTTCACAGGACTTGGTCATGTTGACACTTGACTAGAAAAATGGCACGACAAACAGTTCTGTCCTACCAATGATGTGTTTATACATTAGTCAGTTCTGAGTGTTTGACTTCACGCTTTGAAATCCCTCATTCAAGCCCCTTTGTAACTGATGCCGCGCTTTGATCCAACATCCTTTGTTCGCATAGTATTTAGAAAATCCCAAGGCCATGTAGGCTCATTCCTTTCCATCCAAAGTCCTGACAAAAAATGTTCACAACCTGTTAAACCTGTTTGGTGTAGAATTTGGTGTGCCTAAGGTGCCGCATTGCTTTGAAACAGTTTGCTCAAAAGAAAAGCCGGAAACAAATGAATATTATGTTGATGACCATTGAATGTCCGTGTTCCTTTACTGGAGGAATGCAATAGGAAGCTGGAGACGAAAGGATCTCCTTGTACGTATTGTATGTCTTCTGCAGTTCCCCCTATACCAGCAAGTCGTGGACCAAACTCTGTGAAATTTGGCTTGGAGACCTGTTACGTTTGACACTCGTTGAGAGAGAAGGATGTTTATGTCTCACAATTTGGTTATATTATATAATATTATATCAACATCAAACATTAGTCTGGCCGCTGGCCCTTAATTGGTGCAAGTGAAACTGCTCTCAGGAAAGACACCGTATATTCGCCTCAAGTCAAAACAACTTTCTCTCACTGTCAGCAAGCGAGGTGGCGTAGGTTGCCGCTCCGTTTTTGTCATGTTCAACCAAGCCCAGGAGCAGTTCTGCAAAATCTTCTCAGAGGAGATCGGGCGATTGGCCTCATGCCACATTGAGTAAAAAAAGTGGGCCCAACTTCTGGAAAGAGAATTGAAGATACTGAAGCTAATGATGACCAAATCTGATAGCCCAAAATAGCTCAAAGCATCTCAAAGCATGTGCTTTGGTTTCAAGTACAAGTAGGAAGGGATAACACTTGAAAGGGAATCGCACCCAAACAGGTGCACAAATCTTTCAACGTGATGTTTTGCATCACAAAGAACAAACACTCCTTTTCAAACCGGTGTCCCTTCGTCTTCCTGCTTCAAACCTTTCTCGTCGCGCCGATGACGATTCGACGAAGTGTCGGCCCCAAGTCTCGCTGCAGTCAGCCGTAGTCGCAGCACGTGTCCCTTCGACGGGTGGCCACAAAAGCCTCCAAATCCGCTCGCAGCTTCGCCACCGGCCTCTTTTCTACACGTGCTCATCGATCTGTTCCATGCCGAGCAGAGCACGCGAGCACACAGTGGCGGTCAGTCTTTCAGCAGCCACCCACTTCCTATCCATGGATTATAGCTACAATTGTGTGGTGAGTCGAGCAAAAACAGCATGATTTGGAGATGACCCAGCCCCAGGAGCGCAGTTTATCACCAAAACCCTGCATTCTCAGGAACGCTGATATCTATTTATCGCGTTGGAGGCAATCGGACTTAGGTTGGAGGCCATCGCTAGTAGGGCCTGCGTGCGTAGAGGGGTATTTGTCATAAGACCTGACCAGACACTTGGGTCCTGTTGGTCACAGTGCCCCAATGGAGGTGGACATGTTATCTTCGGCTTAAGAATGCGCCTCAGTATATGGCATGGTGGTTGTCATATGTTGTATCAATGTGCCTCTTATCGCCACAAAGGCAGTGGATCATGATGGTTAGCAAATCTTATTCAATATGTCTTAAACGATCTTATAAAACATCTATGCACGGGCTGCATGGGTTCTTGCGTAGCTCAGCAGCTAAACTATGATGACGTTGATGGCCGTTCTGCTGATTGCTTTCAGTTGAGCCACTGTGCCTCCCCGGCTTGCGCATGATGCTTCACCATGCATGAAGGCCGCCGGGATTCGCCAAGCAAATGCATTCTTATTGGCACACCCCGCTCCAATGAACAAAGGGATGGCGGGTAATGCTCATCTGTGTCCAGTTGATTTTGCCTCAAACACCCCTCATGTCACGTCCAAATTCATCTGAATTCAGGGGTTGAAGGTTCCCTCAGTATCTTCCTGGAGCACTACATTGCATCCATTGCCACTCGTTGCCAAGTCCACGTGGAAGACTTACATTGTTGGAATGAACATCCAACAATAGCAATACAGGTTTTGCACTCAGGAATGGCATTGTGGCACGTGCTTCAAGCTCTCCACAATGTTCAGCTCATGTGTCAAGGGATGCGAATGCGTGTCGTTCACGAGAGCTCTGACCATTCCGATGTATGACCAACGCCATCGAAAGGTGGACTGACTCACTTGAAAACTGGACACAACATTTTGGAAGTGTTGGAAGGTATCGAAGGAATTGGGCACGATTGCTGGATCAATGTGTTCAAATATAAAACACATTTGTACATGTATATATATATAGTTATATATACTCTATATACTAAATAAATATATAATATATATAATGTGTATATACACATTATATATTATATATATGTTTAAAACTTTCAATATGTGCGAATGGCGCTCTTGATCTTTGACCTTACACTGCAGGCTCGCCCCGTCGAATCCCGGCCACGGGCTGATCCCTCAAAATGCAGGGCACGTCGTGCGTTCGCACGCAGCCCCAGAGATGAATCCTCATGAACCAGATTTGGCTGACCCACTGGGTGAACCCCAATCAGTTGAGACCATGAGGAGGGTACTTGTTCAGGGATGTTCAGGGTTTGTCTTCATGCAAACTGACATGGATGACTTGCATTTAAAAGGAACATATTGGAACTGGATTGGTCCACGAGGTCTCAAGCTCGAAGTACCACTTGGAAGCCGGCCAGCGGATCCGGCACAAATGCATCCAGTGCACATGTTTTTTAATATTGTATGCCCTCATTGATGATCAAACTCAGGCAAATGGAGGTCTAACTTGTTTTTCTCATGTTTTCTCCACCTGACATTCTCAACCGCTGCTATGTGATTAGGGTTGTCATCATCTTTTTCGCAAGCAATGATGCAAACGCAGGGGGTGGCATATTCAGTGTTATTATTGAATTCCTGAACAAAGGAGCTCATCCTTAAGTACATCACATACAAACCATACAGCAGTTCTCAAACAACATATATCCAACACTGCGTTCATAGGTGGCGAAAAATCTCCAATGAGGGCAGTGGCGTTGGGGCGCAAGATGGCGCGCTGTACAAATCTACGTCACCATACGGTGGGAGACCTGAGCAAACAGTTTCATGCGCCGACATGTCATCCGAAGCAAAGAGTTTCATGACCGGTGAAGGGGGTCATCGTGCGGATCTTCATGTGAAACATCGTGAGACTTCACCAACTGGATGTGTGACGCGAACCACATGCGTCAAATCATGCCAAAATCACATATGTCAAGGCAGATTGGACCATCTCAAAGCACTGCTCCCACCACACCAGCAACAGCAAGTGCAACAGCAGCGGCGGCAGCAGGAAGATCCACAGTATGAGCGACACGAGGAACAGCAACAACAGCAGTGAAGAAAAGAAGAACACAGAAACAGCGAAAACAAAAGGAGAGCATCAGCAAAAGCAACGGAGACAGCAGCAGCAAAGGAAGACAAATAACATGCAAAAAAATGAATATGTTTGAAGACCGAAGATGCTGAAACCAACATGGTTCTCCAACAGGCATAGCAGCTATACTAGTATACTATAGATCGAACCAGGAACCACTATATTATTCCTGTGGAGAATTGCTCAGAAAACTTCTGAAATGGGTTCTCGTCGAAAAGGCCTGATTCTAGTGATCCAAGCCTCCATGTCGAGCCTTTGCTGAAAAAGAGATCGTCTGACCCCTGGCGGAAGCGGGGCTGGGCACTGGATTCTGCGGCCCTGACACCGGCATAGGTTGCACCCAACACGTGCGCAGTTGGAGAAAGACAATGCGGCGAATACACACTTACAAGTAGAAATTTGCAAGAGCACGAATCGAAGCTCATCAGTTTCGCATTAGCCCTTTACAGTTACTGCAGTTAGACTTCGAAGCAAAAACGGTGTGGCGAAGAGTCCAGGAACACGTCCATGGTCATGCAGTGGATAATTCCCTCTCTGATGCACAGCTTCGTTGGACAGTAGCATCAAAGAGCGCAGTCCCATGCTGCATTGACAGTATCGCTTCAACGGCAACAAACTAAAGCTTGTGAAAACCCATAGAATGCCATAGAAACAGGATGCCAGACACACACAGGAAGCCGTGTTCCGCACCGTGACTCATACCGTGGACTTGTGATACCTAAGAAACCTCTCGAAAAGAAGATGTAAAAAAACAAGAAAACGGAGGGCGAAACCGGAGGGCGAAACGCCCATGCAATTCAGCCGAGTTCCCCCCCTCCGAGCCGGAGTGGCGGTACATTCACATGCTCGAAGGAAGGTCGCGAGTCGCTCGGGCCACATGAGTAGATGGCGGAGCCCGACAACGTGTGAAAACCCAAAGTGATAGGCGACCAAAAGTCTTTGGCGGCTCTTGACTCAAGCAATTTGTGTGCCTCACAGCTGGGCGTGGCAAGCTAATCAGCTTTAATCAAGATCCAAATCAAAGTGGGCAACACTGCGACGGTGGCAGGTGTAATAAGGTGTTGCAATGTCGGGGAAAAGCGTCCACTCCTGCCTGGAGCAATTGTCCACTGCTTATAGGCTCGGCCACATTTTGTTGCAGGGTCCATGGGCTCAAGTTCGAGCCATAATTACCGACGGCAGGTAGATTACGGCTCTGCTTCGTTGGTTGGCCTCTTGGGAGGCGCTCTGCAACAGATATTGTACGAAGCTGTGTGGGCACTGTCGCATCACTGGTCGAAGGCTATGTCGAATGCTGCGTGCGGCCTTTTGCCGAACGCAAGGGTGGTTGGTGTGGTTGCCAGCTGCGCAGTGAAAGGCCCAGGCACTGACATGCAGTTCTCCAACAGGGTGGCCCGACCCCGGCGTATGAATGAGAGAAGGACGTGGCTTGTTGGCAATGTGTGGTGGTGTGTGGGAACACTTGTCTGCCGACCTGCATGATACCTAAAACGCCTGTAGCAGGAGAAGAAAGAGCAATTTCAAAAAAAGAACGAAAGGAAGAACATGTACCAAAATTGGGTGCAAGAGATGAATTAACGCAGCAAAGTGGGTTATAGCTGCAGTTTGGAGCATGTGGCCCATTGCAAAGCTGCATTCTCGGAAAGAACTGCCCTGTCAGTTCCTGCCTGGAACGATTTTCACAGTACTTCTGCTCAGTTCCATCCGCACCGGCAACGGTGAAGCAGTGCGCTTCCTTGGCGGATGCTCTTTTTGGGAGCACTGCGCATATTGCACGAAGGTGAAAGTGCAGAATTTACAGGGCCGCGTGAAGCGCATAGCAACATTGTGGCCCATACCAGCGAAAAAGTGCCCTTTGTGCTGTTTAAGCCGAGCACGGATTGCTGGTGCGGTTGCCAGCTGAACTGTGAAAGGCCCAGGCAAACCAGCAAGCGGTTGTCCAATAGGGTATAGTCCCGGTGTATGGTAGTATGGGTGAAAGAAAGATTGGTGAAAGACGTGGTTTGTTTGCAGCGTGTGGTAATGTGTGGGACTGCTGACCTGCATTACACCTAAAACGCCTGTAGAAAAAACGACAAGAAAAGGCTTAAACATGACACAAAAACAGCAGGAGCAAAAACATGATATGCCGATAGTGCACGGACAATAGATCAATGGGAAACACAACCTGAAGGAAGAAACGTGACCTCTTTAGTGGTTAAAATTGGGAAGTTGCATGAAGCTGTATCATTGCTAGAACCCAGCGGGAGTTCCAGTAGCTCTTCATCTAAGATTCAGCATCCTCAAGGGTTGAACCAAGA